AATTCTATTTCAGGAATGGTTAAAGGAAGTTGAAAAAATAAAGTTTTTCGAAATTCCAAGACAGACTTCAGTGATATGTGTTGGAAGTTTATAGAAGTTCACATATTTTCTGATGCCAGTCCCAAGTGTTATGGTGCCGTAGCCATATTTTAGATTTAAGAAAAAAATAAATGTAAAACAAGTTTCATAGTGTCGAAATCCCGTTTGGCTCCATTAAAAAGGGTAACACTCCCTAGGCTTGAACTTTTGGGACATTAATTTCTTGCAAGATTAGGTTCGTATTTGCAATCATATTTCCGTTTGGATAAGGGAATATATTTTACTGGACTTATTCCCAAATTTGCATTCACTGGATCAAGGATCTGCCAACGAGTGGGGAAACAATTTTAGAAATCGTGTGTAGAAATCAAGGAGGAAAAACATTTTAAACAACTGGTTCTTTTGCAGTGGGAAACAACCCTGCTATAAACTTACGAGGGGATGGATCTGAAGCTCTAATTAATGATAGTGATTGGTTTTCTGGCCACCCGGCTTTCAGAAGTAGATGTTGACATCACAAAACGAAATGAATACCAAAGCTGACTTGCAAAATGTTAGTGAAGAACTAATGTGTTACTTTGAAAAACTTGTGGAATCTACAGAACCGTTCTCAATCTTGAACTGTACGGAAATTTAACCAAAGTTACTGGGAATAATGGCTTTGTTCTGCGCTTCGTGAAACTGTAAATCCGCTCGTGAAGCAATCTGGTGTGCTTACCGCCTATGAGTTATGGAAGGCTTCAGAATTTATTATAAGAAATATCAACTTAATGAATTTTCAGAAGAATTAAGCTTTAAAGACAGGAACAAACCGAAAACTAAAAGCAAAATCATTTCACTTAATCATTTTCTAGATGAAACAAAATTTTAAGAGTAGGAGGTAGATTAAGAAACGCATAAATTACCAAAGAAAGTAAACATCCCATTATATTGCCAAATAATAATCACTTCAAAAATTAATCATACAGCATTATCACGAAAAACATTTAACAGAGGGTTGCATTTAATGTTATCCGCAAGAGACAGAAATACTGGATATAAGTGCAAAGAATGAAATTAAAAAATGCATTTGGAAATGCATAAATGTTGCAGAGTACGAGCAGTAACATCTATTCAATTAATGGGAGAACTACCTGCAAGTAGAGTGATTCCAAGTAGAACCTTTTCAAAGGTTGGCGTTGATTATGCCGGCCCATTTTCTGTGTGAAAATGAAAGGGGAAGAGGTATAAGACCAATTAAATGTTATATCTGTATTTTCGTTTGTTTAGCTACAAAGGCTATCCATTTAGAGATTTGCTAGCAACTTATCAAGTGAAGCATTCCTAGCTGCTCTAAAACGATTTTGCTTCGAGAGAGGAAAACCTCAAGAAATAAGAAGTGATTGTGGAACTAATTTTATAGGTTCAAATAAAATCCTCAAGGAAGCAGTTTCATCTGCCCAGTCAACCTCAGAATTTCAAAGGTGGTTGCAATGAAAACATAAGGTGGATATCAACCCGCCAGCTGCTCCACATCATGGTGGTATATGGGAGGCAGCTGTTAGATCTATAAGCTGCATCTAAAGAAATGTGTTGGAACTCAAATTTTGACTTATGAAGAGTCACAAATTGAAGCATGCCTTAAATTCGAGGCCAATAACACTGGTCTCCAGTGATCCAATGATTTGACGCTTTGACTCCTGGACCTTTATTATAGGACTTCTTTAACAGGTTGTTCCGGAACAAGATTTAACCGAAGTAGAGTGTCTCCATTGCAAAATGGCAACTAACACAGCAGATGTTCCAAGAGTTTTGGAAGTGGTGGTCTAAAGAGTACCTGTGCCAACTACAGCAGTGTAAGCAAATGGAGACAGCCTAGCAGAAATATTCGTCTAAATGACTTGGTTATCATTAAAGAAGATAATATGCCTTCATTACGTTGGAAATCGGGCGAGTATAGAAGTGTGTTTCTGGAAGAGACAATAATGTCCGAGTGGTTAGACTAAAAACTGTGCACAGGGACATTAAACGTCCTATTACCAAACTGTGTCTTTTTTACCAGTTGAGAACATTAAACTTAAGTGTTTGTTTCATATTGAATATATTTTATTATTATTTTCATTTCTTATTGTACTAATAATTTTATTTGTTTGTTCTAGTTTAACCCTCATAGTTAACGTTTCAATATAGTAAGATATAAGATGTTTTGCTAGAAGATTGGTAAGAGTAACATGTAATTTTATACTTTTTGAAGGTTTTTGTATGTTTTCAGTTTTCTATATTTTTCATTTACTTGTTTGCATATATTGAAGATTGTATTAAGATGAATGTAATTCATCGGGGGGGAGGATGTTTTGGCCTCCTCGGTGATTGCGGTGATTTGTGCCCAGAGGGCACACCGCACAAAAAGTTAGTTGCGTTACAGAACGTAAGGGAAGCGGACACGCCAAAATGTCGGGCGTATTACCGCTAATTGAGGTAATTGCATTGTATCTGTCAGGTGGCAGAAAACTAGTATGATGTATCAATTCACATGCCAGGTGGCAGAATATGTCTATCATGTACATGCCAGGAGGCATAACACTTGTAAACATGCCAGGTGGCATACGACTTGTAAATAAATTGTAAATAAATGTACAGTAAAATATCTTGGTGCAATAGATCAAGGAACACGCATCAACAACCTTCTGATCATTTGGATACGTACAGATATGCTTATTTTAAAATTATTTTGTGACATTGCTATTGAACTGAGTTTTATGGTTTAAGTGCAAAGAATATGATATTTAATAAATAAAGGTAACACAGAAAACGTTAAAAAAACGCCCCTTTGGAGATAATTTAAAATCTAAAACCTTTCAGATTTATTTTTATTTATTTTTTATTTATTTTTATTTATTTTTTTAAACTTTTTTTTTTTTTTTTTTTTAAATTTTCTATTTATTTTATTTATTCTTTTTTCAGTATTCTCACATACAGTAAAAGCTTGTCTATCCAGAATGCTCGGGAAATGCTGAATTCTTGATATATGTAAATTTCTGGATAGTTGAGCACAAACAAAAACCAAATTCACAATGGAAGTCATGTGAATAGAGAAAGAAATTTCTGGTCAAAAGCCTACATTTAAAATTATGTAAGATTTTTAAAAAAAATCCTTATTCTGTACATAGAATCTGACGTATTTCATCAGCCTTCAACATAAAAATTAAAGCACCTTATCAGATTAAGGAAATGCTGTCAATCCTGAGAGTTGGTGGAGATGCTACCAAATATACACCAATCATTTTGGTAAAATTTAAAGGAAAAAGATATATTTTTATTTAATTAGAATCATAAGACTCAAATCAATGGATACAGCATGTAAAAAAAAAACTTAAATCGTGTATCATAAATTTTCATGTTGCATTGTCATTTTCAAATAAAGTCATATATCATCTCCATTGAAACACATTTTTCTTGACGTCAGGACCCTGTAACTTTGAAAATACTCTATGTTGTTTCATAAAAGGAAGATTGTAAATTGTAACCATTTTTCAAATTACGTGAGTTAAAATATATTAACTAACTTACATCTTCTTTACAAAAATTAAATTGGCTTATCAATAACTAATCTAGTTTACATAAACTAAGGAGAGGATCTTATGATTATGTTGTGACATTATGCTTTTACATCATTGGGGCTAAATCACACCATTTGGCTATAGTTTTTGTTTGCCAAAAATCATTGACAGTAAAGTATGTTCAACACCAATTTTTTTAAATAATTGCAAGACTTTTGCCCAAAATGCATTTAATAGATTTGAAAAGGCTTGTTACTCCAGTGATCTCCTCTTCGCTAACTACACTGCCGAACATAGTAATCGTGATAGACAAACTAAAAGCCTATTGTGAACACTGAAATCTCTCATATGCCCCTGTGCTGTAACAAAGAACGTCTACTGGGAGTTCACATTAGTTCTTAGACAGAAACCTCCCACTTTTCTTTCTATGAGGTATATCCTATTCCAAGCATAAATTCTTAAAATGCCAAGATAAATACAATGATAGGAGGAAATATGTTTCCTGAAAGAAAGCTGTGTAATTCTATTCACATTTTAGTTATTCAATGGGATTTTGAAAATCTATATGTGCCTTTGATGGCCTAATACATCTCCCATTTGCTTAATTTTTTGGAAGGGATGTTAAAAAAAAAAATGGGATGTTACTCTAATAAATATATAAAAAATCTAAACGGTTTTAGATTTTAAATTATGTCCAAAGGGGCATTTTTTTAACATTTTGTGTGTTACCTTTATTAAATATAATGTTCTTTGCATTTAAACCATAAAATTCAGTTCAAGAGCAATATTGCAAAATAATTTTAAACTGAGCATATCTTTAGAATTTCCGATACACACTCTCACTTGCTGGAGATAAAAATATGTACAACATATATGATTTCTCTGTACAACGTTGCCATTGCTCGCTTGGAAATCCTTGAGTTTGGTAGTCAAAAATTCGATAAAGTTTTACAAAATATTAAATTGATAATGAAATAAATTTCAAATTTGGGCTTCCAGATGCCCATATTCGCAGGTGGATTACATTATGCAAAATTTTATAGCCCTAGGTACCGTTGTTTTAACACAATGCGAGAAACATACATACATTTATGCGAGTTCTTCATTATTTAATTTCTTTAAATATAATACAGGGCGATGATATTTGGTGGCAACAATTTGAAAAGTGAAAGAATGCTTGCAGTGAATCAATGCAAAATGCCAAAATGAAATTAATAGTCCTCCTGGACAAATTGCCCCTTTGGACTAAAACTTTTCTGGTTAGTTGGATGCCAGATAGTCAGGCTTTTACTGTATACTTATGTCGCAAATAAAAGGTTGTTATTCTCATAAACAAGTTTTATGACTGATTTAATTTTCTTGGGAGCCTTGAAGATAGTTATATAGCAATAAAATATTTTATAATTAAAACGAAAGCTTTACCTTTGTCAGAGGATCTGAAAAATACTTTTTTTCATCTGTGAAAAAACAAATGTCATTCCCACATTGTTTATAAGCACCATTTTCACCAGTAAATGGAGTCCACCAAATTAATATTGGATGTTCTTTGCTATCTTTGGGAATGCCTAATAAGGATAAATATATATAATTTACTGAATAGTACACAGCACAGAAGATTGTTAATATGAAATTCAGATTTACACAGGTTCCAAATTTAGATTGCCATTTCACACAATTATGCACTTAAAAACATAAGGTAATGATCTTTCAAAATGAAAATTCTATAAATGAATTTTTACCTAGTTTTGAATGCTGAATATCAACTGTAAAAGCAGATGTAGTCAAACATCAGTTTAACAAATGCAAATTTAATGAATATCTTCTATCATAAGTTAAGCAAAATAATTCGATTTACAAATTTTTTATTCTGTTTTACCATACTGTGAAAAAATCCAAATTTTTCTTAATAATTTTTCCTGAGAAGAGTACTAATTTAATAGGATCTGAACTAATTTAATAGAATCTTTAAACTCTATATGCCCTTGTTCACATATAAAATTTGGAATTATTCTTTTTTCACACATTGGGATACCACAGATATTGAATGGTAGCTGTAAAGATACTTTTTAATGATATAATGGTATTTCATGGATGTATAAATTTACATATTAAATATCAACTAATGTTAATTTTATACACTTATAAGATCTAATGTAATGATAATAAAGGAAGTAGTGGATCTTGTATTGAGTGTAAAAGAAAACTACAATAAATCCCATTCTTAGATACTCTTTTTGGCTTACAGAGTTCAAAAAAAAATTTTTAATAAGCTAAGAAAGATAAGAGAATTTTTAACACTTTTCAAAAAATTAATAAAGAAATTTGGACAGAAATAAACACAAACTTAAATATCAGTTTTCTAACTACATTTCATTACAGTAAAAACTTGATTATCTAGAAAGCTAAGGAAACACTGATTGCCAGACAATTGAATGAAAATTCTCGATAGCTGAGAGTATAAAAACTGCAATTTATGAAAAAAAAAATCGGAAAAAAATAGAAAAAGATATTTTTAGCCTAGAATTATAAAAAAAAAGTTATCTTGTCTTATTTGTTATAAATTTAAATATCAAAAGCCTAGTAAGATTTTGAAAAAAAAAAAAAAAAAAAAAAAAAAAAAACGCATTGCAAACATAAAAACATGTGTATTTTATAGGCCTTAAATATATAAAACATATTCAAATATGAAATCGGAAATTGTTTTTTGTTTATTAAAATAATCAAGAGATAAAAGTTACGGACACAGCAGATAAAAAATTTAAATCACTTGTCGCAATTTTGTCCATTGCATCTCCACTGTTTATCCATTTTCAAACAGAGTTGCCTATTGTGCCCATTAATATACACTTTTTTTGATGCCAGAATCCTGTAACTTTGAAAATATACCAATGCATACTCTTTCACAGAAGGCAGGTTCCAAATGTTGTCCCCCTTTTTCTTCCCAAAATGCAAGGGAAAAACTAGCAAATAGCAGCTGATTTATATCCTTCTATACATCCCAGTTTCTTTAATGAATGGGGTGGGAATTCAAAACATAGATAGATCCTTATTTACAAAAATTGAACTGGTTTATTGGGAATTAATTGGGTTATACAAAACAAAGATGAATATCTTATGACTGAGTGGTGATGTCATGCTTATCCATCTCTGAGAATAAATCACACTGTTTGGTGTCCTGTATGTCCTCTATGACTTTGGCAGTCTCATTTTGGGGGGACAGGGAGTTTTTAAAATACTGGGGTTACTTTAGCTTTCCAGTTAGTTGAATGCCAGATAATCAAGCTTCATTTTTAAAATCCCCTTATGTCATTTTACTTATACTATAATAATTTTCATTCATATATATATTCATATTCGTTTTTTATACAGACGCGAGCACATAATTGTGATGCTTCATTGCAAGTTTATGCATCTACTTTAGAGTCTGCTGATTTAACGAATAATCTCAAGTGAATAAATTTTATTGCCTGCCTCATAACCAATCTGTTGGGCGCTTGTCATCTAATGGAACAATATGCTAAAGAGCGTACAATACAATGTTAAAGAAGCAATGCCCTCCAAAATTTAGATTCCTGTTGAACTGATACAACATAGAGTTTATGTAACATTACAGGCTAATGTTTAGTGTACAGTACCCCTTGATTTTTGTCTAAAAAAATTGCCAAGCAGTGTTGGTTGTTTGTCGAATCTGCAAGCCCGCATTGCAAAATAGGTTTTTGGGTAACCCTAATGTTGATAATGTTGGCAAAACTAGCCATGGGGAAAATTTTGATTTTTTTTTTTTTTTTTTTTTTTTTTCAGTTTTTTTCATTAAAAAGGGGTTATTTCTGTGAATATTGCCAAATGTGTTGTGATAAATTTAGATTTTGGCTATTTTTTGTAACAGTAACCCTTTCGTAAGGATCCAGGTTTGGTTTTCAGTTGCTGTGTTTGCTTGCATGTGCATGGTATGGTCTTGGATTTTGAATTGGCTATTATTTTGCTGTGAGTAACAGCATTTGAGTATGTCTGAGGTGGGTAAGAGATGAATATTAATTAACAGCATGAATGACCAAAATTGAATTGCTTACCTAGAGGATGGAGGAGATGGTAGTGGGAAGCCTAAACACATGCATGCGAAGAAAAGGTATATTAAAAAATTGATGTTTCGTTCATTTATTCGTCTCTGTGTGCTAATTTTTGTTAAAAGATTTGTCATTTAATGTTTTTATGTTAGAAAACATGTATTTTTGGTTATTTATTCCTCTCTGTTTGTGTATTTTTGATTATTTGTTCGTCTCTGTGTGTTAAGGCAGCTACGAATTTTTTTTCTGGTTACCATGATAGTCTTTGTTTTAGCTTCCTGATTTTGTTTACATGAAAATAGATCAATGTGTACATGGACAAAGTTAAGGAAGTGTGCAATGCCTAATTTGTGCAATTCTCCAATTTTTTTAAGTGAAAATAAGTTGATGTGTACATGGACACTGAGTTTATGCAAGTCTTTGGCTTCTTATTTTGGTTTTGTGCAGCAGTCATCTTGAAATTGTCGCTGATCCTTCCTGGTGCTGATCTTGGCATCAAAAAAGAAACGATTCGCCAAGGGGTACTGTGCAGTAAATTTTTACCGACATCACATGTATTCAAAAGAAGAAATAGTCTCGAATATAGTCGTCTCATTTTTTAAATTTATGCCTGCTAGGTGATTCCTTTGTTTGAATATGTTTATCAATTACTGCTATTTTACTTAGCCATTTCAGAAGCAAAAGCTCGACTATACGGAAAGTTTGGGAAATGCTCAATTCTAGATATTTAAAAATTCTGGACAGTTGAGCATAAAACAAAACGGAATTCAGCATATAATGTACAAAAAAATGGAATTCAATGCAGAAAAGATGGAAAAGTTGAGTCAATAAAAAAATGAAATCTAAAAACTGGAGTGTAAAAGAAATTGGAAAATGGAATGCCAAATGAATAAGAAAAATTTTCCACTCTAAAATTACGAAAACAAATAAAAATTTGTTACCAACTTAGGTATCAAAAGTCTACATTAAAATTATATAAGATTTTGAAAAAAAAAATTAATTTCAGACAGAAAAGCCAATGTATTTTGTAGGCCATTTGAAACATGTATGTGCTTTCTCTTTCTTGCTTTTATCATAACAAAGAAAATATTCACGTTTGGGGAATTAAACATCAATATTCTTAAAATAATAAAACTAAAAATTAATAGTGCAATGCATGTTTAATTACACAAAAATACACTGAACGTGCCAGCTTTCAGAAATGGTCTATCTGCTTCCTCAGCTAGCTGAGTTCAAACGAATAATGATCTCGCATTTGTCTCCTTTCAAAATAACTGCATAATATATTCTCCTTTTTCTTCCCCTTCAGTTTCTTATAAAGCTGTCGTACTTTTATAGAATGGATATCCAAATACATGGGAAAACGCAGGATAGTTCTCCACTGCAACTTGATTTTGCAAAAATTTCAGTCACTTTTATTTTAAAGACACTTTTTCAGCTTGATCCCATTCAACAGTAGAATGTGGATGCTCAATAAAATACTTGACTAATATATTGTTTGTATAAATATTGTTTGTATCGATGCAAATATTATTAGAGTTTATATAAATCTTTTTCCTCCTCAACAATTCTTGTTATTAACTTCCAGGATGTAGATTTAATATTTTGTGCAGAAGTGAGCAAAATCACACTTTGATGGGATAAGATCAGACCCATTCACTCTCTGAACTGAGTCACCTTTTTAAAACTCATTACTAACTAGCAATAACCTTAATGAACAAGACTAGGAACATGAAGTGAATCAAGAGCAATGTGAAAGGATGGAGCGAAAAAACAAAAAGATTGGACGAAATGACTGTATTGAACTGCTAATTCCGTAAATTGTTTCTTTCCTTTCTGAAACCACCTTTTCACATAAAACTAACAAGAAAAATTTGAAATAAAAAAATTTTCAAAACGTTGGGAAAACTCACATTTTGCATGGAATGATAAAAATTCCTTGTTGTCCTAAAACAGAAATCAAACTTTAGCATGCTTCCAACAAGAATTCTCGAATGGAGTTAATGCTCCCTCTAGTCAAATAACCATATGCTAAGTAGAAAGAGAGTAAACTGCCCATCTCTGATACTGAGAAACATTACTTATTCCTGTTATCCATTGATCTACTTTTGAACGTAGCATAAGTGAATCTATTTTGTGGACATTAGATTTGTCTAATTAATTTCCAAACAGATAGAGATGGTATTACTGCGAATTTATATCCATATTTGTTTAATACTGAAGTGATAAGGAAAATATTACAGCAATAGCACAATATTGCAATAAATTTATTTGGTTAATCAGCAGCAGCTTTACTTTTTTAATTACTTCTAGTAATTTGTCAGATGATCTTAAAGTTGAATTATTGTAAAAACTCCATGAAGTATCTATTATTTCTTGGAATTTGCAGGATGTATTCACATTCCTTTTCATGTAATTCAGGCACACTGCACATTTTATATAGAAAGCAACTGTTTTGTAAGGGTAAAATGGAAAAGAATCAAAAGGAATAATCACAAGCT